CTCGGAGGTCTTTGAGGTCTTTGAAAAACTCACTCGTGCATGTTATATCCAAATTGTACTCGAAACCATGCTATTACCTATATACTAATAAAGACATATTCAATGTATAAATACAAACATTTCAACACTTTCCCATCAATAGTAATTCTAGACAGAAAACGCTTAATTAATTAGAATTTGTTCTTGCATTTCATTCGTGTCCAAACATGTTCGAACTTATTTGTATAAGAAAACCAATTTAAGCCTTATTTCCTGTCTAACAATGCGACGCGCTCGAAATGTGCCCGCTAAGCCTTCTGGGAGCCCATATATGACAGGCGATTGACTGAAGGCAATGACCTCAATCATGTGAACAATCCAGTGCATATTAAACTGTATTACGGTTTTTTGACAGTCTGTATTACGGTTTTTTTAATTCCATCTTCAAAATTCTCTCGTATTATGTACAGGATAAACACCGAAAAGGAAGGATTTATTTCAGATAATGTACGCCATAACCAGCGGGACATGTCAGGAGAGGGGGGTATAACATGTCCAAAATTAAAGTAGAAATAAGAGGCCATCAAAAAGGGATTCACTGTTGTATTGTACGTGTTACCCCAAGCGACTAGAGCGTATGTAAGAAATGGATATATAAGTGAATAATATAAATTAATAAGAATATCCATGCTCACAAAATTATGTATTTTTGAAATAGCTCCAATATTGCGTTTTACCTTTTTGGAGATTTCTAAAACCTGAGCTTTAAAGTTTAGGTTAGCATCTATCACTACACCCAAATATTTGAAATTAGATGTTTGTTTCAATAATTTATTGTTAATCGTTAATTGAATACTGGAAGAAATTTTCTTCTGTGGAGGGTGAAATATAAGTAATATAACAAAGTTTGTCTTATCGATGTTGAGCGACAATTTGTTTACACAGAGCCATTTATTTATATGTTCAAGTTGACTACTTATAGTAGATTCAAGATAAATATAGATAAATTACAATGGACAAAACATGTTGAAAAACAAACTAAAAAGATTTCTTGTTCTATATAGCTATGTTACGAAAAGTGAAGCCTTACGTACCTCAAGCAACACTACAGATGATGTATAAGTCATTTGTACTCCCCTATTTCAACTATTGTTCAACTATGTGGCATGATGGTAATAAAATGCACGCCGAAAAAATGCTCAAATTGCAAAAGCGTGCAGCACGGGTCATTACCAGTTCGGACTTAGAAGAACGATCTTCTGAAATTTTTCAAATGCTCAAATGGTTCTACCTGACACGTCCTTCAGTTATTTTAAAAGACTAATGGATGGCTTGTGTTTTTCAATTGGGAGGTCATCCTGCCAAACCATATCAAAGCATTATGCCTTGCCGATGTAAATAGAGTATATTATGCATGATTATTTTTTTAGTTAATAATTTTAATATTCTTATAATAATTTATAGTGAGTGTGCACGGCCCTTTGAAAAACAGACTTCTGAAAGGCTACCGTGAATAAATAAGCTTAAATAATAATAATAATAATAATAATAATAATAATAATAATAATAATGTCATTTTCGAATTATTATCATGCAAGTAAACTTTTGGCATGCATAGGTATGGTACACATACTTCTGATATATATTATTTTATTCTTATAAGTACCATGAATAAAGCTGTTTTATAAAATTGGCGCAAAGGGCCTGGGAACGACATTGTTACCTTGGCAACAAAATTAGAAGTGTTTTTCAATGCGTCTCATCATGTACAATCAATAATAACTGAGCTATGCTTCAGTTTAGTATTCATTAAACATACTTACCCAACTAATGACGTCACATGTTGTGCTGAATCAGCAACTTATATTTTGCACATTTTTGCATATAACTTCGGAACCAGATGAGATAGAATAGAGCAGTAAACGGCCAATCGGCTTATTTTTTCATGCTCTTTCAGATAAAGCAATAAAAATTTTATTGCCAATACCCTTTAAGCCAACGTGGAGTGTTAAAGAACCTTCACTGTATACAGCTAATTCAAAAAAGATGTCCTTTGCAAACCTTAATTAAAGGAAAATGGCAATAAAAAATAGTTTAGTTCATTTGAAAGAACTCTTAAAACTATGTATTAAACTCTATTACAGATTGTTTATATCTTGCTTATTTTTCAAAATATTTCGACTGAAAAGTGAGCTCAATTGGATTGTTGAGGATAAGCATGTTACGTCAAGAAAGAGGTCACGCTTATTTTTTATCTTGAGAATAAGCTATCAGTATGGGTCCAAACTTATTTTCTGGTTGCCGTCTGAAATTTAAAATGATTAAAAATATTTCAAACAATTTTGGAGTGTTACTCGGTCATTTTAGAGTAGTTTTATATGGTTAACTCCTCTCCTGACGTCATCAAAGCCATAGTTAATGAGGTCAAGAATTAGTCCAAGATGGCGGACAGCTAGTTAATTTCGAATTCGGTCTAAATATTTCAAGAACTAACTAAGCAAGATATGACAAATCGGTAATAGAGTTTAATATATAATTTTAAGAGTTCTTTGGAATGAGACAAACTAATTTTTTTTTTCAATGCCCTTTATTTAAATCTCAACCATAAACCCTAAGCTTCCAAAGCATAACGGGAGCATCATTTAATCAGTTTAGAAATCATATATGGGACCCATTTCTTAAGGCTAATTTCCACTCCGGAAAATAAGCAGTGGATCGGACCAGATCGGAACAAAACAAAATCCGCACATGCGCCATCAGTATAAATTTTTGGTTCCGATTGATCCGGCGACGTTGTTGGCCAGATAATAAAAAGTTGAAATATTTTCAACTTTTTTTGGTCCGGTCCCGCGGATTAAACCTGGTGATTATTTTCCTTTTTAGAGAGGTTAAGATACCCCGGTTTCGGTGTACGTGTACGGGTAGCATGATTTTGATTAGCAATATTTTCGTCGATGTCTGTACCTTTACTTGTAATTAAGGTCACATTTTCCGCATTATATCATTGTCTATTGCAAGAAAACAGAAAAAGTATGATCGAATTACAGACATCAGTACCCGTACAACGTACAAAGAAACCGGGGTACCCGTACAACGAAACCGGGGTATCTTAACCTCTCTAATGTCTCACAATCCGGTCCGATCAGCTGCTTATTTTCAAGAGTGGAAATTAGCCTTTAGAGGCATGGTAAATATCTCCTTACGAGAACAATTCATTCACAAATATTCTACATTCTACAATATTAGAAGACGAATGAAATATTAGAAGAATGCTTAATAAAGAAGACTCCTTTGGCGTTATTCATAAGATACTCGTATATGAACTGTCCAACGAACCCTTTAAGGATATTTTTATTTTTTGAGACCTTCTGAATTCAGTGTTTAAAATGCCGTTGGGGAGGGGGGGGGGGGTCAAGGGGCCACACGCTGATAATATGCCACGGGTCCCGCGAAACGTTAATCCTATCTGAAACGTTAATCGCGAAACCTATGGTTTGAAATTTGTACTTGCTTATTCAAGTAATATTTGGTTAACGTTAATTAATATACGCCAAAAGTGTATATAGCCAATTTGAAACAATTAACAAGAATAGGAAAATCGTTGGCAGAAATCACGAATATAATTTATTGATAATTACTGTATATGCGCAGTACTTCCGTACGTTCTAATGTGCATGTCAATTGAAATATGGCTCCAGCAGTAAGTAGTTGTAGATTGTATAATGCGATGTTTTTAATTGCAAAATCTGCATGAGAATAAGGTAGATAGTTGCAACTTTTGTCGAAATCGCAGGTTGCAAAGCATTAAGTCTGTCGAAGAATTTAGTGAAATACTGGCCTGATTTAAGTTACTACCCATATACTGCTTTTCTACATTTTGTGCAGAGTAAATTTTTACAACATTTGTTTATTTAACTCTACATAAAATACCGCACTGGCCACTGGGAGTAAAAAGCAAGGGAGACAGCAGCTAAAACACGGCCAACATTACAGTAGCTACTTCGATCGACAGATTTTGTTTTACTACCTAGCTTATCCTAAGATTGTTTGAGATTTACAATATCGCGTTACACAGCGGTCTACTGTTTATACTTGAAGCCATGCCTCAAAGTGATAATTGTGTGAATTATCGTATTGAATATCTTATGCTGGGATTTCTGGTTTCTGTATATCATTAAGTTTGTACTAGTTTTCATTCAGCAAAAGCGAGCCGCAATGTTGTTTTTACTGTTTAGTTTTGTCAACTTTTCGATTTATTTGAGTGCTATGGACAGCCAAGAATTATTGTGAAGGATTAAATCGATGAAAACAAGGTTGAAGCTAATTGAATCCTGCCGTTTACTCAATCTATGAGCTGTAACAGCCTATTAGTGGACGTGTTTTTTTGTTTCATGTTTGGTTTTGTACTTTTTGCTAAAAATGAACAATTAGGCTATGAAACTGAAATATTTTTCGGTTTACACATAATCACTTTAATCTTGTGGAAACACGACTAAAAACGTGAACGTTTTCTTGAGGAGTAAACAACTTTTTAAACGTTTGTATGCAATTTTGCAAATGTTTTACAGTTGAGTCAATTGACAGTGTATAAAAAAATTAAAAAATATTGTTTCGTAGCTATTTTTTGGTCTAGTGATATTCTTATCATACGTAGAATTGCTGTATAGACTCGCAAGTGATTTGGCACTCAAAACGAAGTATCATTCAACGCTTTTTTCCATTAGAAACCTTTCAGAAATAGCTTTATACTTAAAAAAAAGCATGGTCAATTTTTGTTTTGTTTTGATCATGGAGTTGCGTGAGATAGTTCACGTACTTGTCCCGCGAACACCCCGCATGGAACTGTAGGGAGTCTCCTTAATTGAAGTAAATAAAGTTAACTTTTAGTGAAATAGTTTGGTAACGAATAGGAATTTCATGCTTTGCCTCCCATGTACTTGTTGGCGACGCTGCATGGGATTGGGATGAATAGGGCTAATGAAAGATGTGTGGTTTGATTTGAACTTCACAGAGGTTACTCTTCGTAGTTTACTGCTCATCATCTTTTTTATCACAGCCCTCCTCCTCCCCAGACATTGCCACTTTATTTGGGGGTTTTTCCACACAATTTTTCGTTTTCCCAATTTCCACTTGTGTCGATATAATATAAGTACTGTATATCAACACGGAAAATTTTTATATTTGTTAAATATCAACTGTATGCATCTAATGTTTAGTTACGTTGTTCAGTGCTTGGAATATATAATCACCATTTTTGTAGTGTTCTTTCGTCATATTTTTCGTCGAAATGCCATGATATTGCTTTCAGATTTGGTCTTCATTCTAATCATAGGGGGCTCAACTACTGTCAGTAACAAGGGTAAAATAATCAAAATAGAAAACTTACTTTAAAAGATTCGCATAAATTCTTCCCAACAACATTGATGAATTCATGAATATATGAATAGATAAAAAAATATTATCTATATGAAGTATTACAGAATCCTCAACAGGTAACTAATGCGGGCGCGTATGAGGTAATATAGCCACAGAGAAGAGATATACAGAGAGGAAACTGACACTCGATAACCTGAATTTTTGGGTCACGCGTTCCACGCGCCACGCAAAATCTTCCAGCCAGTGCCGTCGCTGAAATTTCATAGAAAAAGATAGGGAAAACGCTGTTCGAAATGTGAAAAACGCTTTTTTTTTAAAAATGAGATAGCCATGGAAATTTTGTTCAATAAATTATTATAGAATAACGGTAAGCGATCACTTTTATTGATTTCCTTTTATTAAAAGTGTTAATAACAAACATTTTATTTTGCAAAAGTTTGTTTTTTCCCCTATCTACTCCTTATTAAAATCGTGAAAAGCACTGGCTGAGATTTTCAGATGCTCACGTATAAAAAACAAAGCAGCGAATGATATAAATGCCTCAAAATATAACTCTTGCATAAAAAACATAAATACTTCTATAATATGTATAGTTTTATTCTTCTGCATTATCAAAATTTAATAAAATAGTGAATTAATATAATTTTCTATAGTTAATAGACTGAATGTATCGGCGTGACATAATTTGCCACGTGATTCCTCTCTGTATATCTCTTCTCTGTGATGTAGCATAATTAAGTAATAGTTAAAACATGAGCAGCCGATCTTTATCTTATATACAAACAAGGCGAGAGTTTGTATATCAGATAAAGTTCTAGCCTGCGTAGCAGTCGCTTTATTTTATTGAAGATTTTGAGGAAAAGCGACTGCTACGCAGGCTAATAAAGTTCGGATACGAATGTTTTAACGTTGGCGAAGTAATTTTAAAAATAAACATTGTCTAAGCCGAGAAAATCAAAGTTGAAGTTTATGTAAATCAGGAAAAATCTTTAACCGATTTACAATATACAAATAATGAATGTTTATAAGTGCAATGGTAAGAACATTTTCATGAGGTGAAAGATGGAATGTTCCATTCAACGAGGCGACAGCCGAGTTGAATGGAACATTCCATCTTTCACCGAATAAAAATATTCTTACCATTACAAGAAATAAAAACATTAATTATTATTAACATTAATTTATATATTACTAAAGATACTATTACCTTATACGCGGCCGCATTACTTACCTGTTGAGGATTCTATAGTACTTCATATAGATAATATTTTTTTCTCTTTCTCTGTTGACGTTCTTGCGAAGAATTTATGCAAAAGTTCATTATTTTTATTATTTTACATTTGTTACTGACAGTAGTTGAGCCCCATGTGTTCTAACGGTAATTCTTGCAGGCACTAGCTGTAATTATATGGAGAAACATGGGTATAAATACATCACCAATAAAATAATGGAGCCGCTTTTATGGTTGATATTGAACTCCCATATCAAAACTTTTAACACTGGCCACTCTTTCTCCGTAATTCCCTTCCAGATGCCAGGAAAGTGTTTGGATTTCCAGTCCAACACACCACACCGCCGTCACCACAATAAAATACCTCGTATATTTGGAATACACTAGGGCTTTATCCCGACGGATACATTCTTTATACTATACCCGTATATATTAGTAATCACCAGCAATTTGTGCAATTGAAGTATATACACCGGAAAAAAGAACGAGCAGCCCAGCGAATAGGAAAATAATGTTTGCAACAATAGTATATCTTGATAGTTGGTTATATAAAAGTAACGTGTGCGCCACAGCAGGAAGTAGAAAGCCAACAGTTGCTGTCACAAACGAGCCAACCAATGACATTACATTTCCAAGTTGAGGAACATTTGCTGCAATACCAGCTACAAATGAAAGAAACGAAAATCGTTACAAAACATTCCTCTGCTTTACAACTGTGTATATCCAAAGGGGCATAAAGCTACCTCCATTAAAGCAAAAAGTTATTTGAAATATCGTTCGCAAATAATTCACAACAACAAAAAAATGTTCAATATCTATAGGCCCGTTTACAATTACACTTGCAATTCTTGCTGCGATTTCTTTCACACGCATGTGAACGAGTAGATAAGCTATGCATACTCTGAATATAATGTACAGCTAGTACCCTCATCATGAACATACTTAATTATATATTTCTGGAAATATATAATTTCAGCTTTTCTCCGAGGAAAAAAGTTATATTCCCCGTGCGAGGGTACTAATTCTCCCCGGCTATTTACACCCGTGGAAACGAAAGCATTAGCGAAGTCTAAAGTTCACCAATGATTGCGGGCGTGACTCACTGTGCGTGGGTGGTCATCCTCACAGATCTCAAAAATGTGGCGGACTGCCATGAATAGCGATTTAAAGCTTGCATTATAAAGACTGTATGACGACAGCGAAATAGCAAACATTTCTTGATATGATGATTGATAAATTTCTTGCAAATATATTTCATTTTTGCTCGCAAGATTTTGTAAATTTCAAGAAAGAAAGGGCGAAAGAATCGGCTAAGAGAAGGGAGCCGACGTTAACGAAGGTAAGTTTGTTTAAAATATTGATTTTATAATTGCTTTAAAACCCGACGGCCTTTGCCTTTGGCTTTGCGTATATGAAACAACTAAACAAGACAGCATATAATTTCAGTGTATCTTTAATATTGATTCCCTTTTTTATTATATTGAATTTTTTAAATAAAATAGAAAGCAAAGTTATTTGCATGCGAGAATTTGAAATCATTCTATTACAAACTCAATGTTTATCGATACAGCCATTTAATTAAAGGCAGTTTAGTTATATAAAGAACACTTTAAAACCTTTTACGAAGCGTTTGTGGTTGAATTTTACCTTAAATTGAAGCTTATATTACCGAATATCATACCTACCATATATATGTTGGGAAATTTTGTAATTAAAAGTGATATTTTTAGGCGATTTTTCATTTGTAAGAATATTCTTAAAAAATCATCGTGTTACCATGACAACTACTTTAGATACTTCATGTTCGGAAAATACAATGGCTGTCAGCAAGGCGAGGGTTTCTGCGTGCATGCATGTATTTTCTAGTTAGTGAATAATATTTCATGTTTTAGAAAAATTATCACAAATTCAATTAATTGATCATGAAGGAGTGAAAATTGTCCCATTGTCGGAATACATGCAGCTTCAGTTTGTATGTATAGAGATCTGCCTTCTTTTTCACCTTTGCTACAGATTCTATAGCTGAAAGCTGAAGCAAACAATGGAATTATATTTTACCTGAAAGTGTCAACACTAAGATTCTAAACACAAGAGACATCAAATAAAACCTATTTTCTGGTAGATGTTGTTTCAAAATGGGCTCCACGGTATCATATCCAACAAAATAAATAAGGACGAGACTACAGGAAGCAGCGAAACCCATTAAAACTTTCGTAACTGAATAGTACCTGAAAAATAAGGTAGCCTATTAAACATTATGTCTAGATGTGCTATGGAATAATTACACAGGACCTTGCGCTGCCCGATCAGCGATCACAAGCGCGTATACGGGTTGGTACGTATGCAGGGGAGGGGGCAGTTATACCGGTTACAACCATCTATAGGTGGATTTCACCTTATCACATCGCCGCCATTTTGGATGGTTTTGACAAAAAATTATTTGTTTCTAATTTGATCCAGCGTCGAGAAAATTTCTTTGTGCTTGACCCCCTCGCAAAACTGTTCAAATTTGGGAAATTGTAGTTTCATCTCATGAAAACGGGCTCCATACGCCTATATGCATGGTATTGCGTTTCATGTGCACATCTATATATTACTTGGTAGAAATTGAAAAGATTTGGTAAACCCTATTGGTCTCGAGAACAGGAGATTGCCTATATGTTTCATGTTCTAAACGTAATTGCAGTGATTACGCCACCGGAAGCACAATACAGTAACTAACAAACTAATAATCTTACATGGACATAAGAAGGACAACACGGGGTGTTAGAAGAGGAGGTAGATATATTGATACGATATACATATGCGTTCAAATGGGAATATAAAAGTAATGATGTTTTTGGACATATCACGGACTTCAGTTAAGGTACTGCAATTCAAAGGTAAAATTACCGAGAAACAGGTGTCCCAGGAAATTTGGCCCCCCCAAAATTTGGCCCCCCCGGGCCAAATTTCCTAGGAAATTTGGCCCCCCTGGGGGCCATATTTCCTAGGAAATTTGGCCCCCCCTTCGGAAATTTGGCCCCCTCGAAAACATAGTTTACTTTATCGCTATAAGCTCGGAAATCGTGAAGTTTCTTCTAAAACCAAGATCCTAAAAGTGTTTGTCAGTATTTATAGTTAGTTTGCATAATTTATTTGTGTCGAAATTCGTCATTGCGGCCAAGAGCTAAAAGTTTGAAGGAAAGCGTAAAAATAATAATGTGCTAGTGCAGTCATGCCAGACACATCACACATGGGAATCTGTTGAGGACAACGTTAAAGCATAATGGCTTAGCTTTAAGCTAAGGACACGAAACGATTTTTAGAGATAGGAATTTCTAAGATATTACAAGTTATTTGGATCTATAAATTTAGTCACATAGCATAAAATTAGTCAGAATAACAACCGCACTTTTATAGCAAACGATGACATCATGCGTTGGCGAATATGTTAATATCCACGCGTCTAATAAATAACAGGGAGTAATTAGCATTAGTATAGGGTAAAAATAGACTTTTAAGTCGAAACGTTTGTTCGTAAAACAAAATCAAATGCGTGGTTATTTCGTAAAAAAAACTTTTCCTATGCATTTTACTTACATATACACAATATGTAATGCATCCCAATCATATGATCGATTATACAGAAGCATTCCGTAAAAACGGACGTAGACTGCATGCTTCATGGCTCACAAAAACATTCCGCACACACAAAAGCACAAACTTTTAGACACGCTTTCCTTCAAACTCTTAGCTCTTGGCCGCAATGATGAATTTCGACACAAATAAATTATGCAAACTAACTATAAATACTGACAAACACTTTTAGGATCTTGGTTTTAGAAGAAGCTTCACGATTTCCGAGCTTATAGCGATAAAGTAAACTATGTTTTCGAGGGGGCCAAATTTCCGAAGGGGGGGCCAAATTTCCTAGGAAATATGGCCCGGGGGGGCCAAATTTCCTAGGAAATTTGGCCCGGGGGGGCCAAATTTTCGGGGGGGCCAAATTTCCTGTGACACCGGCCAACAGGCAGAGACCGCAATTGAATAAATGATTGAAAGGTTTTTCAAATGATCAATAATACTGAAAATGCCTGCAGTTGCAATAATATATTATAATACATCGTAGATGTACTAGAAAATTAATATAATGCGATTTAGACGCATGATAATGTTGGGAAACGATGAATTTACTGAAGCGGACATCCATATTAAGTAACAATTATAACATGTTGATAAAAAAACGTTTAATTAATCAAGGTTAATCTGCATGTTGCATGTCTGAAGAACATAATTAAATCGTTGCTCTCTTGATAATAATGTAATTTACCAGTAAAAAATTATGAATTAAATCGAAATGGCGGTAACCGTGCCAATGGGGTAAACACCATTGTATACCATAGCGACAATATTCTTCTACACATCATTTTATACATATTCCTCTTACATTCGACAATGACGTTGATTATTTATTCCACTTCCTTCGTAATTTGCATATCATGCTGAAACTTGAAACATCGCTTCAACGGTAGCCTGCATGGCAGGCGGTATTTCTACGGGCAGCGAAAATTAGGGAAGCAAAGGAAATACCGTCTGCCGCAAAACTAGGGGTTTTTGAATTACCCGTCCGCTGGTGAACGGGAAAAACGGATTGGTTAGTATTTTATGTAGTTGTCAATCAACGGCTAAATTCGGTTAAATGTTAATCATTAACCAAATGTTTTGACGTTTTGAAACTCTGCGTTTTGAAATTAGTTCACGTCAAGTCAGACCAGAAATGGAATAACATAATAAAAGAAGCAAATTAAAAGATACAAGCTGAAAAATAACACTCTAAATAGTGTTATTGATAGAGATTCGAACAAGAATATTTAATAAAGAAGATACGTCCGAAGGGGCCGAAGTTATGATCGGCGAAAGGTATGGGCTAGTCTATATTTTCGTTCAGACAATTACATGCGTATTAATTTGATAATATACTATCTCGCTTGACTTTCAAAGGCCATAAATCGCAATAATGTTGACATTTTACTAGAACTATCGATAGAAATTAGGAGATATTTCTTCACTGAATCGAACAGTGGGATTTCCATATAGGCCTATCAGTCATGTTCAGAACCAAAGATACTTGATAGATATTAATATATACGAACCTCCAAAGTATAAACAAGGGGCCGGTTGATGCAGTAATTATCAAATAACAGTTAACTCTTATATACCCGTTGAATATGTATAGTTGTAAACAAATAAAAACTATCGTTCTATAAGGTTCAATACTTTCAGTTTGGTTGTTGACTGATGATGAATCTATAGTATAGACTTGCATGCTTTGTATTTTGAGCTTATTAAACCACCGTTTTAAGACAGCTAAACGGCTAAACGGGCTTGGTTTATATTAACACATAAAATAAATTCCTTGATTCTCATCACTAGACACAGTCTACACTTTGAAATGTCGAAGACAGTGGGAGATTTATTTTTTATATTTTATATTTATATAATTTATATATCAATAGCCGGTTCGTATCTTCACAAACAATGACAGAATGACTGAGTTTCTTTAAAATAATTTCACTCAAAATTCTGTTTGTTTCAAATTGGAAGTTTAAAATGGCAATAAAAACTCTACAGTATATAAAATATGAAAAAATTAACTGTCTTGAATTATTTTGTCGGGCGGTACATTTATATTGTATAACGTAAAATAAAACGTTTTCACGAGGATTTTAAAATTCAGTCGGGCGGTGATGAGAATCAAGGAATTTATTTTATGTTGGGCAGTTGGGACTTGGGAGCAGCTTGGGAGTGGCTAATTTTGAATATTTACTTAATTAATGCATCTATAAATAGCGTTGATGCTTCAGGGGCGGTAGTTCATTTACACCCGGTTTTGTAGCCTGCTCGCAGGCCGTTGTCAGGCAGAGGCTGCATTGGAGGTACGGCCTGCGACCTTTATTAGTAAAAAGTCGATTTATGCGTACGGAGCGTACGCAAAATTCCCATTGGTCAGAAGTGCCCCATGAGTTAATATCGTGCAAATATTTAACTCGTACGACATTTCGCAATGTAATTTTAAAGCTGGCATTCAATCAGTGGCGTATAAAACCATGACTTTGTTTATCTCTTCGAAGAAGTAACTGAATGTATTTGAGAAACCTTTCAATTTAAATTAACGTTGAAGGATGAGCGAAGGTTAGCAATATTAACTGTACTTCCAACGGGATTTGATAAAAGTTTACATGTAATATACCGATACTTTGTCTTCGTCAGCTATAATAATAAACCTTTTCCAAAGAAGAACAAGGGAAAACTTCGACGTATGCCTTGCTGATCTTTGCAGAGAGAGTAAAATAAGTCTAGTTCAGGCTGACAATTTATCTAACCGCGTTTGCATCACTTGCGGTTTCAAACGTTGAACAACTTAAGGTTAGCCCAGCGAGACGTTCGTTGAGACACAGGCAGTGAATCAGCTAGTATAAAGCAGTTGATTGTCAAATGCCTCCGAACATTTCTCCCAAATACTTCCCTGTCAACCCAAGGCTTTCTGCCTAAACAATCTGGTCTTGAATAAGTCAAGACAATGGGCAAATTATTAAAACAGACGCCGTCGAGGAAAGTCGTTCTTAGAACACCTGGCCAATTTGAATTTACACCTGGAAATTTTGCAATAGTCGTTTGCGTGTTTTTGACCGAAGTCCGCTCTCTCTTTGAGACTTTATTTTTGGGAGTCTCAACTATAGTGACATATATTATTACAACAAGAGCTTTTTACAAAAAAATGTAGTTATTAAACACGGCAGAATCTATGCCACGGCCACGGGTTTTCAAATTGTCTATTGTCTATTGAGTTAATTGTATTATTGAGCAAATGACAGACTTCACGCAATAATGATTAATGTTGTTTTTTAGCCTGCTATTGTTCGACACTTTTAATAAATAGTGTTTGTTCAAAACCTAAATACGTTTCCTTAAATCTTACAGTTATATTTTGGATATAAATATATAAAATACATTAACTAATAGAGAGTAAAATTTTACGTCTCTGTAGTATAGTTACATAACTTAAAACGGCAATGTACGAACAAGACAGCAATATACAAACGGGACTATGTTTTAAATATTAGAACACTTTAGGGAAAAAACGACCATGAATTATTTTGGATTAAAGTTTAGACCTTGAATCCTAGTGAAAGATACAGGCGTAAAATTGCGCGAGAAACTGTTTGTTGTTGTTAATAACCTCTGGTAATCT